TTTTAGCAAGGCCTGTCAAGACTTTGGACTAACAATCAGCCTGAAGAAAACACAAGTCATGGGCCAGGGCGTGGACTCACCTCCCTCTATTACCATCTCCACGCAAGAATTGGAGGTTGTTCATGAATTTGTGTACCTTGGCTCAACAATCTCTGATACTCTCTCCCTGGATGTTGAGCTGGATAAAAACATTGGCAAAGCAGCTAGCATGTTCTCTAGACCAGTGGTTCTTAACCTTTGTTACTCGGATGTTTTTGAACTGCAACTCCCAGAAACCCCAGCCAGGACAGTTGGTGGTGAAGGCTTCTGGGAGTTGCAGTCCAAAACTCCTGAGTAACCCAAGGTTAAGAACCAGTGCTCTAGACTCACAAAAGAGAGTATGCCTAATAAGAAACTGATGGCATAGACCAAGATCCAGGCATTGGTCAATATCCTATTCAACAACAACAGACTCATTCACTCCGTGGGATTTAAAAAGTGTGCTCACTATTCAGTAGCTGATTCCAATGGGTTTACTCTTATGTTGGGACTATCAAGAGGCTACTGTCCACTGAAATACAGTGGTGCCTCGACTTATGAACTTAATCCTTCCCAGAAGATGTTCGTAAATCGAATCAGCATTTCCCATAGGAATGCATTGAAAAATGATTAATCCGTTCCAGCTGCTTTTGTTTGTTTGTAGAGGCGATGTTTGTAAGTTGAAGCATTAGTTCCCATAGGAACTAATGTAAAGCCGGTTAACCTGTCCTCTACCACTTGGGGGAGATTTTTTTTTTAAATCTAAGATGACTTAGATTTAAAAAAGGGCAGGAAAGGAGGGAGGGAGGGAACAAACACCTTTTAAACAAAACACCTTTAAAACCAAGCAGCTTTGAACCAAATCAAGCACTTTTTAAACCAAATTTTACATTTTAAAATTACAGTACCAGGCAGTCCAAAGTCCATTTCCTGCTTTCCCTGCAGTTTTTTTGTTCGTAAGCCAAAGCTCCATTCACCAGTCGAAGCAAAATTTTGCGAACGGAGCTGTTTATAAGTCGAAATGTTTGTATGTAGGGGTGTTCGTAAGTCGAGGCACCACTGTAAAAAAAAGGGCTAGGTTCTCCTTCAGCGCCAGCCATTGCTGCTTGTACCTACCCATCATTGCCACTCATCAAAGCAAACTCGGATGAAGATGCCTGCTTTTCTGACTACCGAACTGTCATATTTTGGCATTCAAGATCTGAGCAGAGGATCTTAAAACACTGACAGGCAGAATCTGTCAGCCTTGTCCAATCAAGCCTGCTCTCCTGTAGCATTACACACTTACGATTATACACCTCTGTTAGGAATGATTGCATTCTTTGTTTACAGAAATGGACAGGGGCCAAACATAAAGGCTTCCTTTCTTCTAGCAAGGATGAATCCTGTGTTCTCTATGTTGATGGAAAGAAGCTTTCAAGATACAGCTCCCAACAAGAGATTAAGCCCATGTGGCATAGATGTGATGAAACCACAGCACATAGGCTTTTAAATGGTCATTTCCATAAGGGTGCAAGGGATAGAATTTTGAACCCCCGTTTTGGAAAATCATCGGGGAAGATCTGACGTGCATCTTTTCCCAGTATAAATGAAAATGGTCCTTTTGTCATTAACACTGCAAAAATTCTTAAACCTTGTGCCCGATATTAGGCCTGCGAAAGCCGACACCCTGCTAGTCTACTGGGTGATTGGTTCTGTAATGAGAGATGGAAAAGAACTTCTTTGGATTTGATCATCTTGAAGAAAGCAGCTTCCCCCACCCCAAGCTTCCAAGACTCACAGTGGGAGAAAAAGCCAAGCCTTTAAAAAAAAAAAAATTACAAGGTGTTTCAGAGGAATGGAGTATGTGTAACACTATGTCTACATTTGCTAATGCAAATAGTTAAAATATATGCAATTCAAAGATCACCCCAACCTTCCAAGACTCACAGTCTTTTGCAAAACTTACAAGGTGTTTCAGAGGAATGGAGTATGTGTAACACTATGTCTACATTTGCTAATGCAAATAGTTAAAATATATGCAATTCAAAGGATAGGCCAGAAACAGGGATTAGTCAAGAGGGACGTATATAAATGAATGTGCACAAAAAAGGAAAGTACATAAAGAAATGTGCATCTTCACATTTGCTAATGCAAATAGTTAAAATACTGTATATGCAATTCAAAGGATAGGCCAGAAACAGGGATTAGTCAAGAGGGACGTATATAAATGAATGTGCACAAAAAAGGAAAGTACATAAAGAAATGTGCATCTTAGGGAAACGACTCAAAATTCAAATGGATTTCCACATGGAAAGAGAAGAGAAAGCCTTGCAAACTGCTATGAAAGGTAGGAGGAAAAGGCAGGCCAGAGTTTCAGAAATACAACAAAATCAGAGCCATTTCCACATCCCTAAGTCTCCATCCATGCCTTGATGATCAGAGCACTTTCTTCCTTCGATGGACACTTTTCTCTTACCTTTTCCCCCCATGTGATCTGCCACTCACAGTACAACTCTCATAACACATCTTTGGCATATATTGTCTAATCATGGGAGGTTGCAGTGTGCGAACCTGCCTTAAGCAGGAACAAGGGAGCCCAACGAGAGCAATTTGCTCCCTGTCCAAAGGACGAGCATCTTTGCTAGCCAGTCTGTGGCTACATGGACAACACCTTGGTTGTGTACCAAGCCTTCAACTTGCAATGGCTCTGCTGCTGACTACCTCCGAAGACTTCCCTTCCATGCCTTGCTGAAATAAAAGGAGGATGTGAGAAGACCTAATGGGATTCTTTTGTTTTTTTAATCATCAAACAACTTTCTGGGCTATTAATGTGTCTATTAATGTGCTATTTAAAGGTTATGTCCATAGGCTAAAGAGCCTACTGCAAATTACTGAATATTTAGAACAGCAATCTTAGAGGGGAGAAGAGAGATCAGAAACAGACCCCTTGTTTTCTGAACAGCTCTGCTTTTTCAGCCTATCTCCCTGCGTGAGAGGATAACCTAAGCCACTGTAAACAACGCAACCCCCAAATCTCCATTATGGTTCTGGGGTGCCTTGTCAGCCATTCCGTCTGTGGACAGCAAGCGCGAAGGCTCAGCTGATCTCCATTTGGAAACAACAACAACAACAAGATAAAAATAAAACTTAATATTATATTTTGGCTTTGATCCGTCATGTGTAAACGCCATCGCTTCTCATAAAACAGCAGTTACATTCCACGCAGGATTCTGATTGATGGTGGTGAAACTTCGGCTCAAACAACACAACAGAGAAAGGCTGGTTCATAAAATGTGCACTCCACATCTCTGGAATTTATAACGGGCTTCCTAGAGGGAACTGCGGTCCTGTTAAATGCCCTATATACCACCGAGCCTTGATACAGCCCTCTTCCAAAAGCTCGTGGATGCACCATGATTCACGTGTCTATTGCTGTTTGTTACAAACAACTGAAACACTGCCTTTTATGATAAACTAATCTGAAATGTCTTTCTTCCCCAGAGAAGAATATGAGTAAAGGAGCAGAAGTGTGTTTTGTTTTGTTTTAAATAATGTCCCAATTCATTGTATAGGCGGTGTAAAGCATGATCCCCTCTAAATAACGTGGGCTCTTACGACTGATTGTGGCCTCTGCTTGTAATGTGCTGATGACATTGTACAAAAACAGGAAACAACAAGCCGGACGTGATCTAGCAGCAGCTAAATAGCTCCCAGGCTTTCTCTCCCACCACCTTCTCCTAAAACCCCATCGCAAATTCAGCAGAGTTTTGAAAAACAGGCAGAGACGAAATGACAGCCACAGCTTCCCCATTCGCCTATCGAAAGGTATTAACAGAGATGGGCTGTGAGCATCCAGGCTGAGGCTCCTGAGTCCCTAAACATTCTATTGCCAGAAGCTAAGAATGATTGACGTGGTAAGTCCAGGCTTCTGTTTCTCCCTGCTGACAACATGAAAAATTCTCAAGTACAGTGTAGTTGAAGTTCTTGCTAAATAAAAACTAACACACAATGGTGAGAGCTGGGGGATTGTGGTGGGGGGGAGAAACATTGACATCCAGGCATCTACGGCCATCCCAGCAGACGAGATGCTTTGACAACCTCCAGAACTGAGAAGAACCAATTCATCCACCCTGACACAAGATTCTTGGGCTGGCCTCTGGCTTCAAGATTCAGCCTCTCGCCATTACATCCCACAGCGCCCCAGGCTGTTCTGCACCTCACCATTTTTTTCCTCAGCAAGGCCCTTCTGTGCTTCTGGGGTAGGTCATCCATATATTCCTGCCATTTCCTAAGTCCTTCTGCAGACTAGAGGGGTGGTGTTGCAACCACCAGCAGTTGGGCTGCTCAAGGGTTGGATCCTGCCCTTGACTATGCCAATGCAAGTCATGCCTAATAAAACAGACAGGTCACTCCACTAAAACTCCCCTTGATCCTAGCTAGCATTGCCGATAGTGAAGAATTCAGAGGCCTGCAGTCGAAGCACATATGTGGGGCCATAATGTTGCAACTTTGCAATAACGTATAGTCATCTATTTCTATCCAGGAACCAACTCCATATTGTTATTCTTATCTCACTTTCTTTTCCAGCAACTGACAGATACAGAAAGTCTCAAGCAACAACTAGGGTCCCTTGCCGATGAATTAATTCATCCTCCTCCTGCAGGACGTCAGTGCTTACCAGGGACACAATCTGGGAAATTCTCTGCTTTATCACTACCCTACCATTATCCATGTCTGCGAGGGAAGGATCCATAAGTTTCTCACCCGTGTTCTCACCTACCGCACCTCAGATGTTTATCCACGCAAGAACACTGGAAGATCGGTTAGGCTAAAGGGGAAACCCTGGACCGGCATCACCCAATGAATGGTGTAACTCAAGGTAAACGAGCGCCATGATCTTCTCACATCCTAATCCAACAGTACAGCCACCAAGCCATAATAAAGAGACAGAAGGACTTCCACAGGCATTTGGAACAGCTGAAATTTGGAGAAGTACTCACGATTTCTGTGGCACCGATTTGGCTGCAACTTTGCCAGCAGGCTCACTCCATTCTGAAAGAGAAGGGGCCATATCATCACCATTGCCCTCTGTTTTAATGGCGATCTGAACGGACACACCATCTCTCAGGGATGTCGAGAGAAGCGGCCACGCACAACATGACAGAGCATTAAGGAAAGATAATAACAACACGATGCTAATCTAATTCAACAGCTTAGAAATTAATTTGCTATCCTGCGTCTTAATGGCATCACGCAGAGCGAGAAAAGCGGGATGGTTTAGAGTAAGAACAGTAGGGACCTACTTTGTGCACTGTATCCTGAGGTCAGATGCTGTGAATCCTACAACAAAAACAAACAGAATGTCAACATGAGTTAGTTGCCTTCGAAGAAAGATCTTCATTCACTTGTTAGACTAGTAGCACAAGGGTTACATTAAAGGAAAGCTTGCCACTGCCTGTACCGACACAGATAAAAGTTCATTCATTTGTTCTATAGGAAACCTATTGAGTGACATCATGGGAAACTGCCTAGCAGTGAGTCAGATCAGATCAGGGTCTCTTCCAGCTGTTCAGTTCTAAGATGATGAAGATGATTTATCCTTATGGCCCATGCCTATCTGTAGGCATGGGGAGTTAGGCTGCCAAACCACAGAGGGAGACAGACAGACAGACACTTGTCTGGCAGATGTGAAAGGCACGTTAAAATGCACATGAAGGGACCTTGTTAGTCATAGTTGGTTCTACTCCTTCCATCTATTGTAGGTCTGCCATGAATGATTAAAGAAAAAAGAGAAATTAAAAAATGATAAACACATGAATGGATAATCTATTGCACCATGACCTTGTCCATCCCCTTGAATTCCTGGACGGGCTACGCTCTGAGTCCACAAAAGTGTGGATGGTTGGCACTTAAGGGGTCTTCTTTGCCCCCCCCTGTGTGTGTGTGTGTGTCTGTATGTGTGTGTGTGTGTGTGTGTTGCACACACTATGGAATTCCATTTTCTTTGATATCTATCTGGGTCCATCCTTTATGGCATTTAAGCCTACCTCTAGTTTGCTGAATGGATGGACCTTATATTAGTGGTGACCTACTACTCAGTTGTTTTTAATGGATCTACGCGGACTGAGTTGGATTTAGGTGTTGCTCTTATTGTTACATGCTGATGCCGTCTTCAATTGACGTCATCTTCAACTTACGTGATCTCCAAAATGTTCTTCTTCAACAGCCCTGCTCAGCTCCTTCAAACTCTAGCCTGTGTCTTACTTGAAGGAGTTCATCCATCTCATATTTGGTCCTCCTCTTTTCCTGCTGCCTTCAACCTTTCCCAGCACGATGGTCTTTCTCAGAGAACCCTGCCTTCTCATGAAATGCCCAAAGTAGGACAACCAGAGATTCAACATTTTTGCCTCTATAAATAGTTCAGGCTTGATTTAGACCTTAGGCACTATGGGATTTTAAGGATTTAGACCTTAGACACCATGAAAAGTCAGTATTATGCCATCATGTCTTTGAGCAGCTTTTCAGGGTTGTTACTCTTAGACTGAATGTCATGTTCTATAAAGCTATTTGTTTTTATTCAAAATCCTACCCTTCTCCTGTGGTTATTGTTATTTTACTGAGTATCCCAGTAATGGGGAAAAGAGACAAAGATGTTTTGAGCTTCCTTATTAGTCGTCAGTATCCCATTTAAATGGGACCAGGTTGTATTTAGCACACATCTCTAGCGTGTACACTTAAGGCACATGCTTTGCCCAAAAATGCAAAGAGCGTTTAGCACGAACTACGACTGATGTGCTCCCATGTCTACCTGTTTCATTACAATGAATTAAATTATAGCTCTTAATTTGGGGGGGAAAAAACCCCAGTCCTTCAGACCTGCATTGTTTTGTTAACAATATCAGATCTAAAGGATGCTGAAAACATTGAAACCTTGGTGGAACTCACTCCTGGGGGCATGATTAGCCCCTAATATAATGCCACGCCGCCGGCCAATCCCTTGTGAAGCAAATCATGCCATAACCGTAAACATGGCACTTTACGTTGGAGTGTTGGAAGCGAAAACAAATTGCGAAAATGAATGTTCTTCAGTTTGGATGCATGATTACACCTCTTCTGGGAACATTTGATTTAAAGGGGGCTTATAAAAATGCATGCTTCTCATCGATGCATCCTGCATTTTTTTGAGAGCATGTTATTGTTCTCATATGGCTTCATGCAGTCCATGGGGAGGGAGGGAGGGAGGGACGATGCTGTGCGCTCCGGTCAGAAGTTACAACATTTTAAGTCCAAATGGTTTCCATGAACAACGAAAGGAAACATGTTTTTTTTTCCTGCAGCAAAATATGTGGCACTCAAAAGAACTTCTCCAGCTTGGGAAAACCACACTCTCACGGTGTCTGTGCTGTCTACTAGTGGCACTCAGGTCACCATCCCTGTCCACTAAAGGAGTTCGACACTCAGGAAATGGCTTATGTAGCAATAGCTAAGAGACAACCTGGGTACTCTTTTAGATGTTCACTATTGAACTGGTTCGTTACATCTTTCCATTCTGGCCCCCTAGTCGGGCCAACCTCCATGAACCCCCCCCCCCAAAAAAGATGGGAAGTTACTCTCTGGGCAGTACAATAGGAGCCCCATATCCGTGGGATCAGAATCTGCTGATTCATTTATTTGCTGCCTTAAAATACTAAATAAAAAAACCAAGGAATACATATTTAAATGTATTTCCAGGGTGTATTTGCCTGATCTGGCTGATAGATGGAGCAAGAGACCATGCAATGTATAGTTTTCAATACTTCAGCATTTTTCAACATTTGCTGTCGGGCTCGGAACCAATCCCACATGGATACTGCAGTCTTACTGTCCTATTTTTTTGGATACTTTTTAGGACACTTGCAGCAATTTCTGATGCTGCCCGTGGCTTGGCATGGGACCACCAAAGTTGTCTTGGCCTAGAGCTGGATAGGACCCAGTGAGTTCAGTGCCCATTATTCGGGCCCCTCGAACCAATTCGTGGGTTGGGCAAATGTTTGCTTGCAAAGGCTGCTCTTTGCCTACCTGAGCCTTGGTTGGAATGGCAAACTTGTTCTGTTCAGCCTTTCCAGGTGTGTGGATAGCTGTGAGAGGTGGAGGCCAAGAATGGGTCATCTCCTAGCAAGGAAAGAAGAAAACAAACACAGACATAATTCTAAGCTGTATCCCTGACTGTTTTCTTTGCTCCTGATTTACTGAGTATTCAGAAAGATTATCGCCAGTGTGGTGACATCTTTCAGTAGTGTTTATAGTCACATTTGCTGTGTGTTGTTTTCTACTTCAACACAGAACCACAGGAACTATGGGTAGCTGCCTCATATACAGTCAAACTCTAGGTCCACCTAGACCAGTACTGCCAGATTTGACCAGTAGCTGTACGTCAGGTTTTCCAACACAATTCTCTCCTGTCCTCCTTTAGAGACGCTTCCAAATCTGCGTCTGATGCTCTTTAGCTACTTTCTAAACTGCGATGATATCAAGTATGACGAGGAAGGTATGGTGCTTAACACTGAACACTGGATAACAAACATGTAAAATCATTTTGTGGCACAAAGAAAACAATAACAAACATTTAAAATCATTTTGTGGCACAAAGAAAACAAACAGCCAATCAACAGGACTTTTTTTGATTTAGATTTAGACACAGTTTCTGCTCAAGAAGGATGCTTGTCATCCTCGGTGCTGATGAGAAGCTAAGGTAAATCAACCCAAATCTTCTGACTTTGCAAAATATGCTTTTTTAAAAAATCAGCCACATCTAATGAATGACTCTGGGGAAGAAAAACAAACCAAATAAAAATAATAATAAAAAAGAACCTGATAGGAGTACACATGAGCAAATGTTTAAAGAAAAAAATGTGAATGGCGACGTACTGAACCCACTGTATGAATGGAATGTCATCCATACAGATTTTTGTTGTAGGGTTTCAAGAGGCAAAATATGATTGGAACACTTATAGCTGCATGTCTGTAAAAGCATGTACACCGTTATCCTAAGTCTACTTAATTCTGAGCAGATATGTCTAGGAATAGAATGCTAACTACCATCTCTGTAAAGTCTTAGAAATGTTTGAATAGAAGTTGGTAATTTAAATGTTTCGAGCCAAGACGCAATAAGCAAAGGACGTTCATAAAATTGGGGCCGAGTTTTTGTTTTCATGTGGTTACAACTTCCAAGAAACATGTTCACTGGTGAAAGAAGCCTCCAGTTTCTTTGCTGAGTGTGCACTGGGACCAGACGTGATGAAAACAAAATGCACCTATAAATGATGATTAATTGAGAACAGTTTTGTTGGCTTCAAAGATGCATCTGCCTTTCAAGTATCCCTCCTTCCTGAAAAATTATTTAAAACACTGGTTTAATTGACTCCATGTGTTTTGTTATTGAGAATAGACATACACATTTCTCAAGCCGAGTCTGCTTCTGCTTTTCTTGCTGTTGTTGTTTTTGAAACTAGCAGTAGATGCCTTCAGGTAAGGAATTGAGAAGGATACAAGCAGGATATCCTTCATGAAAAGCCGAAGGGAGGGAGGGAGGGAGGGAGGGAAGGAAGAAAGAAAGAAAGAAAGAAAGAAAGAAAGAAAGAAAGAAAGAAAGAAAGAAAGAAAGAAAGAAAGAAAGAAAGGATACACTTTGTCTGTAATGAGGGGATGACCAGAATATGTGAGAGGCCCACTTAAGTCTACAAGACAGGTTTCTGAAGCTGTTGGAGGTAGTAATATGACTAAGGAATAACAAAGCCCCAAAACTGCAAATTTATGATAGATAGATAGATAGATAGATAGATAGATAGATAGATAGATAGATAGATAGATAGATAGATAGATAGATAGATAGATAGATAGA